CTCCTCCTCCGTTTCGCAATAGGCCTTTAGGATTGAGGGTTGTTGCGAATATCCCTCTGAGGAATTGGAGCCTCATGTGCACTAAGCAATCGTTGAGTCCTCGCGGAAGACGAGACGACATCGCTCCAGAAAAAGTTGCCTCCCATACCTACCTTATTCAGCCGTGCTTGCTAGGAGAACTGAGTCTTTCCACGGGCCGACATCCCCAGTTTGCGGGCGATGGGATTCGTTCTCCTTTCTGGCTTGTTGGCTATCGGTAGGCTGCCCACTTGGAACGCAATTTGTCACTGTCAAACGAGAGTGGGCAGTGACACTTTGCCACACTTCAACCAGCCGATGCTAACTTTTTAGAAGTAGGATTATGTCATAATTTATGGAACTGACTTTTTGATTCAAACTGCGGCATAAATTGCAGCTGACCTGGTACCGATAAAGACGAGGGAGACCGGAGTGGCCATTCCTGGTTGATTAGCCGTCATCAGTCAGTCATATTCAACCCCAAGTGTGCATCGCTTGAGATTCGAACCCGGGATCTTTGGTCATGGAGTTCGACACTGTACCATTGATCCACTGGCCCGTTGTCCTGTCGGTTGTGAATGGGAATACCAGTCAATAACATCTATCTACAACTGTCTCTGATGATGGGTTCGAGTGAGAATCCAAGAAATCAGGACAATAGACTTTGTGTTCCAGCGATCGCATCTTCTTTTTCTTCCCCCTTCTTCTTCTTCTTCTTCTTTTCTTCTTCTTCTTCTTCTTCTTCTTCTTCTTCTTCTTTTTCTTCTTCTTCTTCTTCTTCTTCTTCTTCTTCTTCTTCTTCCTCTTCTTCTTCCTCTTCTTCTTCCTCTTCTTCTTCTTCTTCTTCTTCTTCTTCTTCTTCTTCTTCTCCTTCCTTTTCTTCTTCCGATACTACTACTAGTCACTGTGCGACTGCCTGCGAAGGGTCTAGTATATACCCCGATGTACAACAGAACAAGCACGTTCCGTAACCCGATCGGTGAGCGCCCATCTGTCATAAAGTGTAACATCTGTAGCATAAAAGTGTTTAGCTTCATAACACTGAGGTGGTTCTTGTTTTCCAACTGCACAGAGCAGTCATGGGCAGCTGTCGAGACGTTCTCTTCTCCTGTTTAGGATCAAAGCCTTATGTGATGCAACATTTTCGCTCTAGACATGCGGGCAGGGTTTTGAATCCTGGGCGTCACAGTCCTCTTTATCTGCTGCTGCTGCTGCGTTCCTAACGTGAGACGATTGTATAAATTCAAGGTCGATAACGATCACCAGCACGTTAGACCGCCATTTTATCGAGTAAATTTCAAGCTCCTGATCTCGCAATGACTAACTAACGCTTAGGACAATTTGCCATCTCAGAACCTGTCATGTCGTCGTGAGTTGTTACGTCTCCAAGAGTGGTACTCTTGCATGAAATGACAGAATAAGTGTAGGTAATTGGTAAATTAGTTTTTCGGGCGGAAACGTTTTAATACATTGACATACAGCAACCGAAATTAAGCAGGACAATTAAAACAAAAAAAAACATTAAGTGTCTACGACTATCGCTTCTCAACTCTCTGAGCTGAGGTCATTGTAGATAATGCACCAGACCGTCTACAACAGACGACCCATCCTTGTACGATGAAACACCAAACCGAAATAATCGTGTCGGGCTAAAACGCACTTAAATAAGTATAGTAGGCATCCTCTGTATGCCACAGATGCTTGAGGTCCTTCACCCGATCCGTACCGGCTTGTTTTAGGGGTATCAGCGCGGCGCCTGACCTGGCCTTCGAAACCACGTTCTCGGCACCACAGCGTAGAGGAACGAGGGGGTAGGGTGGTTGCGTGTGAATAAGAATTTGGGCAATAGGCGATGCGCCTTTATTGCGGTCACGGTGACGGTCTCCATCGCAGCTGGCGACCTCGCAGGCTGGGCAGGTGTCTGTGTGTGTTTGCGTGCGCCCTGAGTGCTCATTGTGGGTTTGGGTCACGGCATCGCATGCGATTAACCCCAGTCCCCCCCCCCGTGTTGTCAACCCATTCTGCCTGACGG